CACCAGTAAATAACATAGTTAATCAGGAACCATAAATGTAAATAATATATTTACTGCGGAAAGGCGGAACCGCACGAAAAGCGGCAAACAAATAAAGTGTTCTTAAGGACAAAGGAAGTCTGTTAAAAAATAATACGGTACGATATCTTGTGAACTTAGAAGCAAGTAGCGATGCAGCCACTATTACAGAAGCGCTTAAGGTATTAAACTTTAATGCAAATCAATAGACAGCGAGGCGAAGAATTGCCAATTTGAGCGCAAAGGATCATAAAAGAAGAAAAAACAAATTTGATCAAAATACATGTGCGAGTGCGGCAGCATTTTGCTGCATCGCACGAAATCCGAACCGTTGCCTATTGGGATATGTTAGGCCGTTCCGAATGCAATAAAAAACATATTTTTAAGTTTCAATTGAAGGTCATTTGGTCCGACAATAACTAAAACGACTAAATTAATCGCTTTCAATCAGATGGCCGGGCATGCTATTGGGTCAAAGACCCAAATTAAGCCCATGCGCAGCATGTAAGGCAAACTGTGAATAAAAGTGGTCGGTCAATAATAGTTTGGGGTTGTATTTCAAACATTTTCTTGATCTGTTAGTACAGATTATGCGTGAGGAACAGTATCTGTTCATATTTCAACAAAATTTGCAAGATGTAGTCGAAAAAATTAGAGTTTCTGCTGAAAAATCACCCAAAACACACTGCACATATTCGCAAAGACTGGATACAAAAGCAAAAATTTGCTGATTTCAAATGACCTCCACAATCCGCGGACATAAATCTCATTGAGAATTTGCGAAAACAACTAAGAGCACAGCTTACTAAGTATCCAAGTCCGTAAAATCGAGTATATGAGCTGTGAAAGCAAACTAAGGATATACCTCCAGAATTTTTACAGAGATACAAATAAGGTATGCCAAATCGTATCCAGGACCTGAAACAAGCAAAAGAGTACTGAACATTGTGTTAGTAGTTCTTTTTTCGTGAAAATTGTTAAAAAGTTCTTAAAAATGTATGAGTGCAAAACTGTAACATCTGCCTTAATTTACA